AACACAATACAATATATAACAATACAACACAATACAATATATAACAATACAACACAATACAATATATAACAATACAACACAATACAATATATAACAATACAACACCATACAATATATAACATTACAACATTTTACTGTACAACTCAATACAATATATAATAATACAACACAATACAATATATAACAATACAACACAATACAATATATAGCAATACAACACAATACAATATAGAATAATACAACACAATACAATATATAACATTACTTCACAATACAATATATAACAATACAACACAATACAATATATAACAATACAACACAATACAATATATATCAATACAACACAATACAATATATAGCATTACAACATTTTACTATACAGCACAATACAATACAATATATTACGTTACAACACTATACTTTACTATACTATTCAATATATTACGTTACAACACTATACTTTACAACACTTTACTATACAACACAATACAATATATGACATTACAATACTTTACAACACAACACAATACAATACCATTCATTTTTATCAAAAGTGCCACATGCCAATTTTGTATAAATTACATCCATACAAGCATGATATAAAACATGACACCAAACCTATAAAGGCTAAAGAGACACAATAGATTCCTACCGGATACTCCGGTTTTCTCACACATTTAGACCCCCCCGCGGGCGAACAAGAGTGATAAATAAAGGTTGAAATAACTTGTTTTATAATTGTTGTTAAACAAATCAAGTTTATATTTAATGGTGTAATTAGTCAATGTTATTATCTGTCAGCATTTTGACAACTCTATTCTCCAAACTGCGGCTGACAGTAAAAGACCAGTTGTGTATTGTTTAAGGTAATCTACTATCGTCAATGAATCTAAAATTCAACCACAATTCTACATGCTTCAACCCTTTGGTAAACTTCACAGGAGCTCCAACCTAGGTCGCCTTGTGCGGAGATGATTGAGCCAGTTTTCCTGTTCCTAGAAAGAATCTGTAGGCACGGGTTTGGGCAGTCTGAACGAAACGATGATTGTTTTGTTCCCATATTGCAGACTCGTTGAATAGTACAGGTTCCACAAGTGACAGGAATAGTTGTTCGAAGAATGCAAGCGACAACACTCCTGTACATTTTGATTTAGTGATCATCGCACTAAAAGAGCTCTACTTGCCGATGTAGAAAGCTTGCGCACTGATAGATTCAATTCAAGATACTCTGTAAACCTTAACCCTAATTATCGATAGCGGTCAATATATCAAATAAACGTTTTCAAAGTTTTGTCCCAAGTAGTAAGTCCCCTTCAGGAAGCTGGACAATCACGGTAGCTTTAGTATTGTCATTATGCCTGGCAATTATGTGTAAGACTAATATAATCGTTCACCCCCTTGCGGTGAGATAGGGGAATCTCAACCCTCGGGGAAAGATGATTAAGTTGCCAAACACTCGGCACAGCCTCGTGTTTGGCAACTTAAGAATCTTCACCCGAGGGTTGAGATTCCCCTATCCCACCCCCAAGGGGATGAATTATTCTTTTTCTCTTACCCTGGTTACCCATTGTGTATCATATACAAAATGTAAGATTAACGTCACAGGCTAAATTCAGGGTTGACGTGACGTTGATGGATTGTTGAGATTACGTCATTGTATTGTTGAAGTGACGTCATATCATTGTTATGAATAGGGGAATTCCCCCGTCTCAACCCTAGGGTGAGACAAGGAAATATCACACCGGTAAAAGCATGAATACGACTGTCCAGGGTAAGAGAATAATAGAATATTTCACCCCCTTGAGGGTGAGACAGGGTAATCTCAACCCGAGGGTAAGATGCTTAAGTTGTCAAACACGAGGCTTGCCGAGTGTTGGCAGCTTAAGAATCCTACCCCGAGGTTTGAGATCACCCTGTCTCACTCCCAAGGGGGTGAATGATTATCTTTCTCTTACCCTGTTTACCCTCTTATGTATTTTATATAGACGTTACATCAATGCAAGACAATGTTGATGTGATGCGACTGAATTGTCGACGTGACGTCATTGTGTTGTTGCCGTGACGTCATGGTATTGTTGCTATGACGTCATACAATTGTTGAGAAAGTGCAAAGAACACGTGAAGCTTGTCTCAACCCTAGGGTGAGATAAGAAAATCTCACACCGGTAAAATGGTTGATATCCCTGTCCAGGGTAAGAGAATATAGAATTAATTGTTTCATTGTTATGACCCAGGGATTTAGTAAATCATCAGTGTCGGGGCTGGACCCAGGAGTTGATTCTAGTAGCACCGTTATATTCGTCTCTACATTGTAGACATGATAATGGAGTTAGGGGGGGGGGGGGGGGGTACAAAATGGGAAAAAATGTGTACAGCGTTGATTCTTATTGCGAAGCGTATATCAGTTCAATTAAATTCAACGCATGAAGTTGACGAGTTGAAGACTTCATACATCGCAATATCAAATATTTTCAAGATCGCAATTAATCATGGCAGTGTTGTGTTTAAAATATGGTACAGTAACCGCGCGCGTGATATTTTAGAAGTTTGAAGATTTCTCATGTCAGAAGTATGGGTGCCTGATGTGCTTGGTATCTTACCTCACAAAGCCTGGATGAATACAATATATATATATAGAAAAGTGTGTCAACTTTTAACAAAACATTTTATGATATGTTTTATGAATTGCTAATATACTCTCAATATTTAGTGTTTTACTAACTCAATTTCTTGGTATATGACATATAACCCCAAAATAATCCTGTTTATTTAAGTATTGGATTCAATATTAAATTGGTTTATCGATTTTAAGACTAATTACTGAAGTGCGTTATTTCTAATAAACCTCGGCAAGATTTATTAGAAGAGCGTTCTTCGGTGTTACGTCTTTATATCGATAAACCAAGTAATTATTTACCCTATTCCTTATAATTTCATTTTAATACAAGAAAGGGAAAAAACTATGTAGCCCAAAATATGTATTTAGCTTTCAACAAGAAGACATATATAATTCATTAGGAATGGCGTAACTATTTTCATTTTGATCAATCAACGTAGTGTTTAAATTCCTCCACGCACGTGCTTTGACGTGTCAATTTAGCAGAGACGGAGCGTGGCGATCGGCTTGAATGTCCACGGAACAAATGCTTGGCAGTTCAAAATAAAGACAATTAATAGACTGAAAACGCAAATCAATGAAAACTAAAAATGTTTGTTAGAAATAATATTTAATTACATTTTGATAGACAGCGACGTCCCAGCAGCATTCAAATTTTGTTTGGCAACGTCACAATGTCTGGCTTCGCATGAACGAAGGGAGATAACTCGAGAAATGGAAGTGTATTGAAACAAACCAGTCAAGCTGTCATAGGTGAAATCAAAAGAACTGTTGGAAGAGTTAAGTGGTATCTAACATAAGGTACGTTGGGAAACAATTTAATGTTGACGGTGATGTTGAAAATTTGACATCGATGTGGTCAGACGAGAGAGACAAGCTAGTGAGAGAAAAATGTATTAATAATGACTTTGATTTAAAGAGACCCTATAGGAGATGTACAGCCAACTATTACAAAATACTTCATAAACAGGGCTCACATTAAGGAAACATTCTGTGCCGCCAATTGTTTTTGCTATGAAAATTGTGTGCCGCCAAACTGAGATTTTATGTCGCCATTTTTTGTCGCGCTCACGACTTTTAGTATATTAAAAATAAATTATTTATCAAGAACTAATCCATTATAATTATTTTCGTTTTATTCAAAACAATTTTAAACGTCGAATTGTCCGTAAAAAAGAAGGCGCTTTCAGAAGCGAACAGGAAACAATCTCGTACACGGTGTCTTATGAAAAGGCAGGAAGTCAAGTTGTTATCGGCGTAAAACGAGTTTATATCCGAGGATATACCTACCTACCATAGTGAACGTGCCCTCGCGATCGTCGCTAGCGACGTGTCAGTATTATGATCATTGATCTTTATGCGTGGTATAAGGTAATGCTTAGTGGTCGGGAGGCGCAGCACGTCCTTAAATGACCTTAGCTGTTGATAGGACGTTAACCAAAATTAAACCAAACTAAACGGGTGGCGCAGAAAACGGTAGCGAACCTACCTTCCATCAAGGTGGCCGGGGTTAGATTCCCCGATCGGACATGAAAAGGCATTGGGTGACCAACCCGACCACGTGAGATTTCTCTGGGTACTCCGTTTTCCTCTTACATTAGCTGAACGTGATATGCTTGACAAAGTCTTGGACTCAATATTCAGGTGAAGGAGCATTGCGTGACAAACTCAGACTGAATAGCTAGCTGAATTTGCTATACACGCCAAACTTGCAGACTTATAAGTGGACAAACTTCACGGCAAACTCGCTTACTCAATAACTAATTGAATATGAAGTACGAAATTGCGGACTCAAATGATTAGCATGAGGAACAAGCGAAGACAAATCCGAATCAAAATACAATATAACCTGTCTAATCAGGCCCCTGTCTAATCCGGATCCCTGTCTAAACCGGCTGTGATTAGTGATCCAGGCATATTCCCTATATAGTCATAGTAATTAAACCCTGTATAAACCGGACCCTGTTCATTCCGAAAACCGGTGTTGTTTCACAAAAGTTGGCATAGTAATCCATGTAAAAACAACCTGTTCATTCCGGTCCTGATATTTCTCTCGGCCGGCTACAATCTAAAGCAAACACTTTCTTAACACATTAGCGCTATCCAATGTCGGGTCGGTCTTCATTTGTATTATTTACTGTATATTTTGTAAATAATTAAAAGTTGCAATTGATTTATTTCTCTGTTGTTTATGTTGACACACTTGTTTACAGATCGTAAGCAAAACACTACATTTTAGTATTTTCAAAATATGACATGCCGACCCTGCATAAACTGGACACCTGTGTAAAACGGACAAATAGTTTGGTCCCGGTGACATCCGGTTTAGACAGACTATAATGTAGAGGACCTACTTAAATAATGAAATAACAAAATATCAGGTAAATAAAGAGTAGTTTATTGAGAAAAGAAGAAAAACTTTTGAATGTTCATCAAGAGACTAAGATGTATCCAAGGTCACATACGTATATGAAAAAATATCCACGTGCCATTAGAACTGGCAAAATTATCGACAAAACAGTATCCTGTCTTTTTCACAAGATCAGAGTCAACAACGGACACTTTATATTTATATTGTTTATCTGCCTGACAGGTAAATATAATAACGATTTTATAATTTTCAGTAAAACTCCTACACCATAATGGTATTCGGGCAGGACCACAGAAACAGAAATAAAAATGAAAAACAATGCATAAGATTTCATAATGTCACTCTCTCATGTAAAGTTTTTAACAACAAGCATCTCCTTTACTGTCATATTTTCTGTTTTAAAAGTTAACGGAATATCCGGTATGATGGAAAGGAAATGTATAGTTTATAATAAATATCGTACACAACCATAGTGACTGGTGTAAACACGTCACGTGATCAACGCAATCATGTATACATATGTATTATGTTTAGTAGAGTTGAAAGACTCGGATATAATTATCCTGGTCTCTACAATTCCTAGAAGTGACCACAAACGTGTCACCCCGAACAGCTATTGCCCAGGGAATACAATTTCCTTCCGATGACGTCAGCAGTTCCCTGACGTGTGTCCCGTCCCCTGACATAACCACGACGTTGTTGGAATAAAAACCACACACGTAGATGTTACCCTCCCTGTCCACGTCTTTTCCCCTAGCACCACTCACGACACCGACCTTCATCACATCCGTGTGACGTTTGTCAAGCGACAGTCTGGACACCGCGACGCCCCCCGTATCCCCATCGATACTGACGAGTGTGTCTCCATTTACTGGATCTTGTGTGAGGGACATACAGTCACCGTTGTACTTATGTAACAACTCAGTCGCTCCGTCCTGTGTCACACTGTATACGTCTCCTGCCAATGTACTCATAATAAACCTCCCGTCTGTATGTGTTATACCATAACAGTACGTGTCATTAGGCATGTTGATCTCAGACGACAGGGAGAGTTTGGAGTCTTCGACTCGCACGACACGGACCCCACCACGACAGTTGAAAGCGACTGTCACGGTATTTATGTTCACCAGACACAGGTCCCAGATATCGTCATTAACGGTCAACTCGTCCAGATACTGTCCTTTGTCTGTAAACAGCTTCAGCTTCTTGTTGTCGAAATCACTAAGTACCATCTGGTCATTAGGAAGGTACAGAACTGCACATATGAAACAATCATCTTTATCTGACGGAGTCTTTACGTTGAACTTCCCTATTTCTTTCACACGAAGCTCTGACAAAGGTACGGGCAGGTATTCAAGATCACCAGGAAAACTTCGGCGTTGTCTCTCGATTACGATCTTCCCCATCGCGTCATCACCAAGGGTTACCAGTCTGGGAACAATTTGATGCTTAATGCTGACGGACGTGAATGACTTGCTTATTTCTGTAACCAGGGCCTTACACGACTCCACTTCTGCCTGTCCTCTCTGATACAACATTATCGCATTAATAGTGTCGTTTTCCACTGCGGCGGTAACGGACGACTTCATGGTATTAACCATACTGTTCATCAGACGTTCACACTGTCGTGACGAGACCTCCATATTCCCCTTCTCCTCTTTAAATAATGTAATTAACTTATCAGTGACGTCCTTCTGAAGTTTGTTTAGCTGTTCGTCGACACTTTGGCGCAGATCTTTGATGCTTTGCAGTGCGATTTCCTGATTTTGGACCATGGTTTTGATCTGCTCGTCAAAATCCTTCACCAATGACGTCATAGCCTGTGCTCCTTTCTTCAGTGCCATCTCCATCTCTTCTAGTTGTGAACCGGCTTTTAACTTCTGTAAATATTCCATCGCCTTTGTCACCTCATCACAACGTCGGTGGTCTTTGATCATGCATATGTTGCATCCGAGACGTTTGTGGTCTTCACAGTACCAAATCAATTTCACGTCGTGTTGGTCACATTTAGGGACTGATTTTTCTTGTTTTGTCTTCCTGCTTTCGTACCCAGTAATATCTAAGATATCACATTCATTATGCAAGACATCATGATGTTGCACCTTACATGTTTCGCACAAATTCAAGTTCATTATTTTACACCAGAATCTTGCTAGATTGGTCAGGTTACCTCTTGTCTGGCATGGCTTGCAGTACAGTGGTTCAGACGAATGCTCCTTAAGCTTGATAAGGTCCTGGATTATAGCATTAACCGGGAACAGTTCTGCCCGTTTGTCCTTAGCTTCCGTTTGATTGACGATCTGGGTCATTCTCCTACAGACGGGACAGGGGAACGATGTTGCCGACGCCATTTTTCCAGACAGTTCCTTGGTGATGTAGGTCCCAAGGCATTCCTGACAGAAAGAGTGAAGGCAGGGTAAGGACTTGGGTTGTCGAAGTCGCTCCAGACATATTGGACACTTCAGTAAGTGTTCGTCCAGTTCTGGAGAAGGGCCGCCTTCTGCCATAGTAACAGCTAGGGCAGATTAACACTGGCCTGAAAAGGAAAGAGTAACGATACTAATTTCATGTGTGAAATTCATAAATTCAATAGCTTGCTTATTATACTTAATCCTTTATCAAACTTTTAATGACTCGCCCTAAATATTTTGTAGTTATAGTTCTATCATTATGGTATAAATGTCAGCTTCGCTTGAAGTACACCATCTCATTTGTTTCAAGGATGAGAAAGGTTGATAGTCAAGTCAGAATGGTATGGCATGAAAGTATTTTTTTCATATGTGACCTCATGATGCCTTTTTGCTATAATATGATAGTATGCTTCTTCATATTAATTATCCTTTCACTCTGCTGATGACATTACCATTTGAACATTTAGACAGTACATATATTCAGGTGATTACGTTGCAAGGTTGTGCAAACTTTTGTTAAATCCATCTCTATTGTGATGTACTGTACAAACAATTAATTTCAGCTAAATGTTTTTCAAAACATATTCTTTTATGAAATTTTAAACAAAAAATGTGTTGGGGTTACTGATGTGTTGCATCAGAGATGCTGATATAGTTTAAATATATAGTAGGAGGGTGTCATTCTGATAACAAGGAGGGAGTAGGGGTAACTCTGATAACGAGGAAGGGGTCGGGTGTCCTTCTGATAATGAGTAGGGGTCGGGGTAAGTCTGATAACGAGGAGGGGGTTGGGCATCATTCTGATAACGATGAAGGGTCGGGTATCATTGCGATATCGAGGATGGCTCGGGTTAGGAGGAGGATTCGGGTGTCATTCTGATAACGAGGAGGGGTAGGGTGTCATTCTGATTACGAGGAGGGGTGCGTATCATTTTGATAACGAGGAGAGAAAGGGTGTTATTCTGATAACGAGAAGGGGTGGGGTAACTCTGATAACGAGGAGGGGTAAGGAGGTCACTCTGATAACAAGGGGTTCGGGGATCACTCTCATAATGAGGAAGGGGTCGGTTGTCATTCTGATAACTAGGTGGGTTCGGGTGTCATTCTGATAACGAGAAGGGGTCTGGTTTCATTCCGATAACGAGAAGGGTGCCGGGGGTCACTCTCATAACGAGGAAGGATTCAGGTATCATTCTTATGACGAGGAGGGGTCGGGTGCCATACTGATAACGATGAGAAGTCGGGGTCATTCTGATAACGAGGAGAGGCCGGAGTCACTCTCATTACGAGGAGGGGTCGGATGTCGTTCTGATAACGAGGAAGTGATCTGGTGTCACACTCATAACGAAGAGGGTTCGGGTGTCATTCTGATAACGAGGAGAGGTCGGTTGTCATTCCGATAACGAGGAAGGTCGAGTATTATTCTGATAACGAGGTGGGTTTCGGTGCCATTCTGATAACGAGGAGGGGTCGGGTGCTATTCTGCAATAGTATTTCAAAGTTTTGTACTTTGTTAGTTGTGAAGCTGTAAATGTAAATGAAAGTGTGTTATTATATTTCTTAAGAATGTTTTTTCTTAGTCATTATGTTTTTCATAATTTCTGATTCTCCTGTAATATTTGATAAATGAAACAATCATAAAACTTTGGTGGGAAACAAGACAATTGTTTCAACTGAGAGGACCGTACACTATTTTGTGTATGGGATATATTTTTGAAACGCATCCCACCCAATAACCATGTATACAATTGCTGGACATAAAGAGCCAAACACAATCACGCTATCAGATTTGACTCCAGTGTCTCGCGACAACAAACGGGACTTAGTTTCAGTGTAACAACATGGAAACAGTTAAGATTTCTAACGCTATACCCATTTATTACAAGTTAGAAATCAAAGTCTGATAATTATGTACACAATTATTCACCATACGACACCCAATTATCTTTATATAATTATAGAACCATTCATTGATTCACATCTATATGATACTTATAACTTAAGAGATTAAAGAAAATACCATTTATTAGAACAAATATCTTTCAAAATATATTTCTATTTTTTTGCACAATGAATAAATGGAATTGGTTAAATAAGGAACTTTCCATCTTGTACGTTTAACCTTATTTTATGTCAGGTAAGAAATGGGGTACGTCATCTTAATTATAATAAGCATTGTGATCACTTCATTGATAACTCTCAATGTACTTGTGGATATCATTCTGAGGATGTTCTTCATTACTTCTTTTCTTGTCATCTCTTCAATTAACTATGTAATTTATACTTTTAATATAATTGGCTATATTTTAGCTAATGTTAACTAAAAGGTAGTCATCTACTTTCCAATAATTATAATCAATACATGTTAGATAATGTATCTTCCTATAACATTACTACTATAAGGCTGTATAGTTATTATTGTTAGCATTTACATGATGTCGTTATACCCATGTAGGCCTACATAAGCTAAATGTACATGCTATAACCTTTTTAAATTACACCTATGTCTGTATACCTATGTGGGCCTTAACACAGGCTTTATGTGCACGCTATAACCTGTTTAATTACACCGATGTATTTATACCTATGTGGGCCTTAACACAGGCTATATGAGCACGCTATAACCTGTTTAATAACACCTATGTCTTTTTACCTATGTGGGCCTTAACACAGGCTTTATGTGCACGCTATAACCTGTTTAATTACACCTATGTCTTTATACCTATGTGGGCCTACACAGGATTGATGTACATGTTATAACTTTTTTAAATTACACTTCTAAGGATATAGTTTCACTGCCAGTAGTGTTTGTATATAAGAGGCTAATATCAATTATAGTTGTATGTTATTATGTTGTCTATTAAGAGTTGTGCGAGAGGTGTATCAGTGGGTGTACTGACTTGTGTATGTTTGGTGTGTAGGTATATCATGTGTGTTTAACGTTGTGAGTTAGGGTTAGATTGATAACACATATTATCTATAATGGTTTATATCAATATAGGTAGATATAAAGGGTTGTATATCTGTTTGTAACTAGTGTTGGTGTTTATGCATAATAATGTGTTGTGTGTAATTAGGATAGTGAGTACGTGTGTCGATCGACAATACATATATCGTAAAGTAATGTGGAAGTGTTAATGTGGATGTGTGTTATTGATACGCCTCGTCATATCTTAATCTTCTACCAATCCAGTTGCATTTTTTAAACCTAAGTTAATTTGACGATTTAACTCACTATTCAAAATCATTAATAGTCTTAAACTGTTAATTGCTATCACCCGTCCATCCTAATGTACATGTATTACATGCTGTACCCGGAATGGGAGATGACATATCTAGGCTATGCCTGTTGTCTAATCCCTTTGTTTTTAAAACAATAACATATCTTGAATTGAATAGTCCCTGCGTTATAACTGAGATTATCTACTCATGATTATATATACAAATGCTAGGCATACCAGGACACCAGGATAGGGTCAGGGGATTGATCCTTTCCTTTGGATCTTATTTGCCATACTACTTTAAATAAGAATATTTTGCTATGCTTGCTCAATATCCATGTGAGCGAAACAGGCCCTCTTTGCCTTTTGTTATGTGAGGGACTGTATATGTTTTTGTTTGAAAACAAGCCTCTATTTCCTCAAAAGACAGAACAAAACACCCGTTTTGCAAGATCAAAGTATGTTGCTTCCTGATTTTGTGATAACATTTCAAGCCATCACCTCGCTTAGGAAGTAACGGATTCAGTTGTTGTTTTCAGTTTCGTTACACACTTATTTATACAGGTAATAGCCTCGCCTGTCAATACACCTATAATATAATCAAGGTTGCTAACTCTGTCACCCTAGTAAAACGATCCAGTTACAGAAAACATGTGATTTTGTCATAACTGTTCGTAGTTTGACGCCGGGAGTAGTCTAGATCGTCAGGAAAATATGTCGACAGCGTAGTAACAGTGAAACAATAATATACAGATATAACTAAACAATGTTTGTGTAATTTACAGATGTGTACCTTAGTTCCTTACACTCACCTTGTGAATTTCCGATATCGACACGGAAAGGACAGACTGGACTTCTTTCGACATGACACTTGTTTACACCTTGGACCCGTCTCTGATAAAGGAAATGTGTAAGTTAGATTATAAAAATCGAACAAAAAAGGAGAGATAAACGTCCGGATTATGAACGACAATATGTTACTGATTAAACATCCTTTTCAAAAAGGAAAACCCGTTTTTATTAATTTGTTGTTAAATAATCACCAATTCTCAGGGGACAAAACATATAATAGTAATGGCAAATCGATAGGGATGGAGAGAAGATTGGGAGAAAACGCTAATTTTGTCATTTAATGTTTATTGGGAAATAGTTTAAATATAAACTAAAACAAAATCTTTTTGGTCAATCAAATGAATTGCGCCACTCATCTCGATTGACAAGAATAAAACGAAATCATTAGCAAAGCATTACATGTATATGGTACTTTCAGAGATTTTATGTATTGATTAAATATTAAGATAATTGAAGTATACTCAATATTCGAAACAAATAAAACATCATTGACAAATTTTTACAAGACACGGACACATTCTACCAACTGAAATACCTGACATTGAAGGCTAAAATCGGCCAGATCTTCATCATTAACGCACAATATGATTATGCCAGGAGTTTATAGTCATAAGGAATTTATAGAACTACATTGGGTTCTACTGTGATATGAATTCATAGTGAATTGTTTGGAGCAGGCGTTCCTTGCTCTTTATACTCATCAATTTACATGTACACTGTACATGTACTATTTTAGCGGTAACATGCTTAAGCGTTTCATGCGTTTAAAATATTTCGTTAACTAATGATTGATTGTGTTTATCACAGTTTCTGTATATTGTACACTATACTCATCCCATAGTCAGTCACCTTGATATCACGCTAGGTCTACGGGGAACATTTAGTCAAAGAGCAAGTTGTCCAAGTTATTCACTTTTATTCATTATCAAATATAGTTGTACGGGACAAAAGGGTTCCGTACAATTACTTCTATTCCTTTATTTTAATACATTTCCTTAATTTCATATAATCAAGTACTAAATATGCAAATAACGTTTTCTTGGCGAGGGACTGATCTATAAAACACCTAGTAAGTTTGTTATATCAAAAACATCTCGGAGGTTGTTTACTCAAACTCTGCAATTTTTAATCCGCCCTCAACATGTACAGGTATAGTCTCTCTACACCACCAACATAAGCATAATACGAGGATCAAAGTGTCACACATGTATAACTTATATATCAGGCTCACTGGGTCTAATCCGAATAGAGAAAGAACCACACACTTACTATGTGTCAGTCATTGATAACACTATCAGTTTGTTTAACCTAGTTATGTCACTCCCCCATCCCTTTCCTGCGCAGATCTCTGACATAATCATCAACTAGATGAAGTAGGTCAGTATACGATAGAAGTAGCAGAAGTAGACGGTCTATTACAATTGTGTTTGAGTAAAACTTCCAAATTGTAAGACTTAAACGCTTAGAATAATATTTCGTATTATTAAGGTTTGTCGACAGTGTAGTACATGCAAATCTGTAATATACAGATATAACTAACATTTTTAATTTAAATATGTGTACGTAACAATAACACATTAATCCTTACACTCACCTTGTGAACTCTCACAGTGTTTGACCTGGAAACATTGGAAGCTTGTTGTTTACCATTTGACTAGCTCGAAACTTCTACTAGAGACCCAAGGCCCATAACTGTCACTTCAGTCGCAATGTAGTTATTTTTCATGGTCAGTACACTGTCGTTAGGTCAGTTTTAGAAGCAAACTCGCTGAGCTAAAAATAAAAATGAGGGAAGAGGACGGACGGAAAGGGATCTTTCCCAAAACGGTGTTGGGGGTCTTGGGCCATTATATCAAAGTTTTACCTCTCAGGACTGTCGTAGAAACAATATCATGAGTGCTGATGGTTGTTTTCCTAAAGAAGACTAGCTCTTTTTTGTTTGTTTTTTGTTTTGTTCAAGTTAAACTAGAATAGCAAGTTACTGAAAAACACGTCCGGATAATTATAATAGCATTAAGGAAAAACACAAAATTGTCCCTACTCTGTCAACTACTTACAATGTCTAAGTTATATAACCAACGACCACAACACAGACATGGCCAACTAAATATTCAATAGTTCCTACGATTTTATCTTTAGTATATTTTATTTTCTCTATCGTGTTTTTTATAAAACAATGTATTCCATAAAGCATTTTTTAAGATCTGTAAGCGACGTGGTCGGCTTTATGTTATCGTGAGTTGCATTCCATAGAGGAGGGTAAGAATGAGTCCTCGTGGAGCTTGGTTCTACAGTCTATTTGACAGTCACTATTTGCGGTTTTTTGCATTGTGAGAGTGCAAATCAGAATGACGGACAGGAAGCCTGTTAGTTAGATACAGTTGGGAACAAAATTAACTTGGTATCTAGTGCACTTCGTAGTGCACACGTAGTGAACAAGGAAGTACACGTGACAAAACATTGAAGTACACTCCAGTTCACTTCAGTGTTAACTCCAGTGCACTAGTGTTTACCAAAGTTTAAAAGACTGAAGTACATATTTCAACAAGAGGCCCAGAGGGCCTGTATCGCTCACCTGGATACCAAAGCAATCATGGCAAAATATTCTCCGAATGAGATCAAGTGAATATGCCAGACCCCAAGGCCAATCCTTGTAGCATATCTGTATTAGATTTTTCATACTCAGCAATTTTATGTGTGGTTATGGGGTGGGGATCTCAACTGTTTTCAAGCTTTGACTCAGAAACTAGGTACCTAGGCTTGTGGCCATACCCCAGGATCAATTATAATATCGTGACTGCATTTGTCTCTTTTTACCCAGCATTTGTATATATAGTTTGGGGGTGGGGATCTCAACCGTTTCAAAGTTATGACCCAGGGGTTAAGTCTGCAAGGGTGGGGCAGACTCTGGGGTCAATTCTAATATCATGACTGCATGCGGCTTTTTATGCCCAACAATTGTATATATAGTTTTGGGGTGGGGATCTCAACAGTTTTAAAAGTTATGGCCCAGGGACTATGTCTCCAAGGGTGGGGCCAGACCTTATAGCCATCCTGCAAGCAAATGTGCATTCTTCTCTTTATACTAAGCAATTGTATACCATGGTTATATGGTGGGGATCTCAACCATTTCCAAGTAATACACTTTTTTTGGCCCCACCCCTTAGCCCGGAGGGTCAGACCCACCATTTGTACAATTTTGAATCCCTGCCTCCTAGGGATGCTTCCGACCAAATATGATCAATATCCATGGCATAGTTCTACAGAAGAAGTCGTTTATAGCAATAGAGCCAAATTGACCCCTTTTTGGACCCACCCTCAGCCCCCTGGGGGTCAACCCAATCATTTGTACAATTTTGAATCCCCACCACCTAGGGATGCTTCCAGTCAAATATGGTTGATATCCAGTTCTTAGTTCTAGAGAAGAAGTCGCTTAAAACAATATGGCCAAATTGACTCCTGATGGCCCCGCCCCTCAACCCCCTGGGGGTCAGCCCCACCATTTGTACAATTTTGAATCCCCATCACCTAGGGATGCGTCCAGTCAAATTTAGTTGAATTCCAATCAGTGGTTAAGAAGAAGAAGTCGTTTAAAGAAATTGTTGACGTACGGACGGACGACGGACGCAACGGTATGGCATAAGCTCACCTTGGTCCTTGGGACCAGGTGAGCTAATAAATGTTTATAATGAAATGGGTTCCTTTGTGATATGAAATTTGAAAGAGAAAGGAAAGAATCTGTCATAATATCGAATAAAAGATACACATATTTTTTGTTTTTTGATTATTCAAAATATTTCAACTGAACATATACATGTACAAAGATAAGATAATTTGTACACTATCTCTAGTGATTATAGAAAATCTATAGACAGCTGTACTATTTCAGAGGAAAAGGTTTAAAAGTATACGTTATCATAGTTAAATTCACATCACATTTAATAGCAATGTTGTAGTGTCAGGATGGAGATCAGTATCTGTTATGTTATATTGGTAAATATGGTAAGTTTTTAATGGTTAATGTGGTAATTTTTTAATGGTAAATGTGTTAAGTTTTCCTATAATTTTTACTTTTTTTATGAAAGGTTTCTCTATAACACGACATCAATAGAGTAATTCGCTTCTTTGTTTTATGCAAATAAGTCAAGAAAAGATAAAATTCCAGAAAAATATTATATCATGGCATGGCACTATAACGATAAAAGGTAAAGACCAAGCTAAAGATGTGTAATTAATTGAAATTCGTTAATTCCAAGTTGCCTTCTTATAGGATAATTATGAAAAAGATATGGGTTAGTCTGAGTTTGATTTCTTTGTATATGTATACACGCCAGGTACATGTAAATACACCCCCAACCACCACCCCTCTCCTGGGTACTACACCGATGTAGCAGGTATACAGCTGGCCTGGTGGTACAGTAATGGATTGCCACTTGTTAAAATGATGACAAAGTTCATGATTGCACGGATGCAAGCACCTGTAGGTAAAGTTATATAAACATGTACAAAAATGAAATAAGTTGATCGATTTATACTAATAAAAAATCAAATCAACTAAGTTTCACAAGGGACCTCAAGTTTTAATCATACAGTTACAACTTTCCTTCAGCTTCAGATTTATAGATGGTTGCTAGGGCAATGTAACCACCCCCTGACACATATTTTTCTTTTCAATATACTATCTACCTGAGAATATATAGGCAATGACCACCCGCTGACCATTCACCTGTGGTCACGTGGGTCTGCTGGGCTGTACCTAATCTTAACACATTGTGTGAAGGCAAATAATCTTGTCAATTAATCCTGCCCATTGTCTGTCCATTAGATATACACAGGTAAATCAGTACATGGTTACAGTTAAGATACTGTGGCTGTCCCTTTGTCAGGAAATGACAGCCTCAGGCACAATTCTATTTTAAAACAGTGACTGTTTCACACTACCTAATCCCTCAAATGGTTAACAAACTTGGTGTTACACAAATAGTCAACAAAAATCGATAACACACCCCAGCATCAATTAATGGGTCACTGAACCATGATAGAGCCTTTTGTACCTGTACGTTCATTGGCCCATAATAGCCACAGGGCACAGGTGTTACAATTAAAGAACTAGAAGGTCAATTAGGAAATTAAATTTTGAAAATTTCAAAATAAATCGGGACGGATTATGAGAAGGTTAAAAAAATGATCCAAGGACTCGAAGCAGTTATCATTGATAGTTAATTTATCATTTGTCAACGCTTCAGAACCTGAGACAAAATATCAAAATGGACTTCACTAGTTCCTATTAATGAAAACAACACGTTGATTGATATATAAGGTTTGAATCTTGCTTTGTTTGATTTCATGGGATGATGAATTGAGTTGGCATTGAAACAAATTCAACATGAACTGCTTCACAATTCATTATATTTGTTTCAAGACCAACTCAATTCATCACCCCATGAAATCGACCAAAGCAAGATTCAATAATTCAAACACTCGTAATGTACCAAGAACGCATTTTTATAACATTTCCGTGATGTTCTACTCCTGCCCTGAAAGCTGACTTAAATATTCGGCAACATAGTATCCTGTCCATATCTCAAGAAAGAGCTAACGATTATTGATACGGTATATTGTAAATCTACCGAGCAGGTTAAAAATTACAACGTTTTTATCTTTTAATTTTTTTGAGTGAACAACCACCTCTATACTACTTTAGTATCAGGGGAACATTTGATACTTTGTATTTCGTAAGCAATTATCATAAAAGATACAATAAATAAAAGCAAAGCAATAATGAAAATGAATAAGTTTTAATAATGTCAATCTCTTGTGTATAGTTATGATATTTAGAGACAAGTATATCCTTCACTATCTTATTTACATCATGTAATACTATATTTCTGTGCTATATGTTTAGTAGAGTTGGAAGACTCGGATATAACAATCCTGGTCTGTTGAACCCCAAGAATGGACCACAAACGTGTCACCGCGAACAGATATTGCATATGGATATTTCATTCCATCTGATGACATCAGCAGTTCCCTAAAGTGTGTCCCGTCCCAAGACATCTGTACGACGTTGTGTGAATCTTTACCACACACGTAGATGTTACCCTCCCTGTCCACGTCTATTCCCCTAGCACCCCTCACGACACCGACCTTCATCACAATCGTGTGACGTTTGTCAGCCGTCAGTCTGGACACCGCGATGTCCCCCTTGGTGTTGTTACTGACACTGACGAGTCTGTCTCCCTTTATTGGACATTGTGTGAGGCAATAACAGGTATTGTTATACTTGTGTAACAACTCAGTCGTTCCGTCCTGAGTCACACTGTATACCTCTCCTCCATATGTACTCACGATAAACCTCCCGTTTCTATGTGTTATACCATAACAGGTTTCACCATTAGACATACTGATCTCAGACGTCAGGGAGAGTTTTGAGTCCTCGACTTTCACGACACGGACACCACCAGGACTGTTAACAGCGACCGCCACGGTATTGTTGTTTACTAGACACAGGTCCAAGGGATCTCCCCTCATGATCAACTCGTCCAGGTACTGTCCTTTGTCTGTAAACAACTTAAGCTTCTTGTTGTTGGTATCACTAAGTACTATCTGTTCATCTGGGAGGTACTCAACTCCAACTATCCAACAAGGATATTCATCTGACGGAGTCTTTACGTTAAACTTCCCTATTTCTTTCACACGACGCTCTGACAAAGGTACGGTGAGGTAATCAAGATCACCAGGAAAACGACGTCGTTGTCTCTCGATTACGATCTTCCCCATCGCCTCATCGCTAAGGGTTACCAGTCTGGGATCAATATGATGGTTAATGGTGACGGACATGAAGGACGTGCTCATCTCCGTGACCAGGGCCTTACACGACTCCACTTCTACCTGTCCTCTCTGATACAACACTATCGCCTCAATAGTGTTGTTTTCCTCTGCGGCTGTAACGGACGACTTCATGGTATTAAGCATACTGTTCATCAGACGTTCACCGTGTCTTAACGAGGCCTCCATATTTCTCTTTTCCTCTTTAAACAATGTAATTAACTTGTCAGTGACGTCATTCTGAAGTTTGTTCAGCTGTTCTTCGACACTTTGGCGAAGATCTTTGATGCTTTGCAGTCCGATTTCCTGATTTTGGACCATGGTTTGGATCTGCTCGTCAAAATCTTTCACCAATGACGTCATGGTCTGTACTCCTTTCTTCAGTGCCATCTCCATCTCTTCTAGTTGTGAACCGGCTTTCAACTTCTGTAAATATTCCATTGCTGTTCTCACCTCATCACAACGTCTGTGGTCTTTGATCATACAAATGTTGCATCCAAGACGTTTGTGGTCTTCACAGTACCAAATCAATTTCTCGTCGTGTTGGTCACATTTTGGGGCTGACCTGTCCTGTTTTGTTCCCCTACTATCGTATCCGGTGATATCTAAGATATCACAATCAGTGTGTATGATATCATGATGTTGTACCTTACAAGTCTCACAGAAATTTGCGTTCATCGACTTGCACCAGAACTTCGCTAGATTGGTCAGGTTACCTCTTGTCTGACAAGGCTTACAGTACAGTGGTTCAGACGAATGTTCCTTAAGCTTGATAAGGTCCTGGATCACAGCATTAGTCGGGAACTGTGCTGCCCATTTGTCCTTAGCTTCCGTTTGATTGACGGTCTGAGTCATTCTCCTACAGACAGGACAAGGGAACGATGTTGCCGACGCCATTTTTCCAGACAGTTCCTTGACGATGAAGGTCTCGAGGCATTCCTGACAGAAAGTGTGGAGGCAGGGTAAGGACTTGGGTTGTCGAAATCGCTCCAGACATATTGGACACTCCTGTAGGTGTTCGTCGAGTTCCGGGGAAGGGCCGCCTTCTGCCATAGTAACAACAAGGACAGTTTAACACTGTCCTGAAAAGGACAGAGTAACAATAATAATTGCATGTGTGCAATTCACAAATTCAATAGCTTACTTAATCCTTTATCAAAGCTTTAATATCTCGCCCTAAATATTTTAATTTATAGTTCTATCATAATGGTATAAATGTCAGCTTCGCTTGAAGTTCACAATCTCTTTTGTTTTAAGGATGAGAAGGGTTAATAGTCAAGTCAGAATGGTATGGATAATGATTGTGGTCTGTTTGCCTTTTAGCTATAATATGATAAATTCAAACTGTGTTTAGCTTCCCCTGTTCAATCACACTATGCTTTTTCATATTAATTATCTTTTCACTTTACTGATGACATTACCATTTGTACATATAGAAAATACATATATTAAGAAGATTATGTTGGAAGGTTGGGAAAACTTTTGTTAAACTCAATGCGAGCAATTTTATCATATGTGACATAATGATTGTGAGAAGTGGTCGGGTATTATTCTGATGACGAGAAGAGGGTCAGGGGTCACTATCATAACGAGGAAGGGGTCCAATGGCATTCCGATAACGAGGAGGGGTCGTGTGTCGCTCTGATAACGAGGAGGGGTCGTGTGTCGCTCTGACAATGAGGAGGGGTCGTGTGTCGCTCTGATAACGAGGAGGGGTCGTGTGTCGCTCTGATAACGAGGAGGGGTCGTGTGTCGCTCTGATAACGAGGAGGAGGCTGGTGTCATTCTTACTACGAGGAGGGGTCGGTGTCATTTTGATAGCAAGGAGGGATTGGGTGTCATTCTGATAACGACGAAGTGTCGGGTGTCTTTCCGATAACGAGGAGGGTCGGTGGTCACTCTTGTAACGAGTAAGGGGTCGGGTGTCATTCTGACAACGAGGAGGGGGTTGTGTGTCATTTCGATGAAGGGGAGGGGTCTGGTATTATTCTGATGACGAGAAAAGGGTCAGGGGTCAATCTCATAACGAGGAAGGGGTCCAGTGTCATTCCGATAACGAGGAGGGGTCGTGTGTCATTATGATAAAGAAGGGGGTCGGGTGTCATTTCGATAACGAGGTGATGTAGCACAAACAGATAGTCATGTTTAAACATGTTAAACCATCTTTCCTTTTGTATATATCTAGTACAGGGAAGGTTTGTCGACAGTGTAGTACATGTAAAACTGTAATATACAGATATAACCAGACATTGTTTGTATACTTTACAGATGTGTACATATCAATACCACCTTAGTTCCTTACACTCACCCTGTGAACTTCCGATATCGACACAGAAACGACAGACTGGACTCCTGTCGACGGGACACTTGTTTACACCTTGGAGTCCCGTTTCCAAAACAGGAAGTGTACAGGGTAGATTATAAATATCGAACGAAGGCGGATAAATCAATATCCGGATTATAAACTGTATTTAAATCATTCTGATTTACGTATATCGTTTACGTTATTGTTTGAATTTTGAGAAAGCAGGCGATAAATAACCAAAAAGCTTTTATACTCAAGAATATTACAATTTGAAGGTCATACCGTTGGAGCTACGTAAATTATGAAATTGAGTGAGTACAATACAAGCTAAAAGCATTAATGATGTTGAAAAGTCACTGTATAAAAATCCAATCCAGCGTAACGTGTATAGAAGATATACCGCAAACCGTTCACTTAATTATACTAATTGCAAACTTCTACAAGTACATTTGATAATAACTGGGAACAACGAATCATGAATTATTTTTAGTGAGTATAACTTTGCATATGTGTGTGTCCGTGTAAGAAATATTAACAGCTGGTTAAATCACTTCGGTCAACTTGCGAAACCCCGCACCAAATCATCATTTCAGCAAGATTACAAAAAACTCATAGCCCACAGCAATGTTACAGCCAAATCACAACCTACTCACAGCTCATCACGGTCATCTTACAGTCAACTTACAGCCCGTTCACAGCTCACTCACAGTCCACTCTCAACCTACTAATAACACACTTACTCACAACTCATCACATCCTCATCATAGCCCACTTACAATCCGCTCACAGCCAACTTCCAGCCCATTTACAGTCCACTCACAGCCGATTTACAACCCTCTCACAACCCGTTCACAGCCCAATCACATTCTGCTCTCATCCCACTCACAATCAACTTACAGCCCATTCAAATCTCACTTAAAACCCATGTACAGACCGCTCACAGGCCACTCACATCCAATATATAGCCCATTCACAGTCCAATCACAGCCAACTCACATCATACTCACAGTTCATTACAGCCCACTTACAACCAATTCACAGACCGGTTACAGCAAACTGATAGCCAACTTACAGTCCACTCACAGTCGACTCACAACCTATTTACATCCCGCTCACAACTCAATTACAGCTCACTCACAGCCAACTTACAACCCACTATTAGCCAACTTACAGCTCATCACAGTATACAATTGTTTCATGGCTATTTTGGGAACAGTCAAAAATATCATCCCGAGGTAGGGGGAAGCCCTGGGGAACTGGGGAACTGTTCCACAGGGATTCCCCCTACCGATGGATGATAGTTTTGACTGTTTCCAAAATAACCATGAAACAGTTGTTTTATTACCAAATAAAAATTAGTATCAATGCTGCATGCAATGTTGCCATTGCTTCAACACTGAGTCGCGGTCACCGAAACGCTTGGGGGGGGGGG